CTGTGAACGATGCAAAGTTTCTCCAATGGAGTCCAAAAATAAAAATATGGAGCTGAAAATAAGCTGAATATGTCTCTCCATCATTGAGTGCATATGCCTGTCTATTCTAGGGCTGATATAGGGATGGACAGCTGGACTTTGAAAGATAGCACCAGGCCACAGAAGCAGCAAACAGGCCCGGAAAGGCCCTAAAATCATCTATTCGAACCATAGCTCGTGCAATATGCATTTGCTGGCTCATGTCTCACAGAACTGCGAGCATAGTTTCGAGTGGGTGCAATCAGCTCCGACCGCCGAGCCCAAACCAGGACGCGACACAGCCTGGGGACAGCCCATTATCAGATCCTACTGTGGATTTTCATGCATGTTTGGTGTGTTCCCTGCTGCTTGGATTTTTTTAAAATCCTTTTTTAGTCATGCTTCGTGTTTCGCTTCTTTTCCACTTTCCTGCATCACCATATGTATTCTTCTCCTTTTTCTTCTTCTTCTTCTGTACACCATGTCTTTCTTTTTAATATTATATCTTTCTGAACCTGCCTGCACAACCTCTCTTTTCCACACAAGACCCCATGACACTTGCGTAATACATAAACCAAAGCTCAGCGTAATTCAAACACTAAACACTCTCACTGGCACGCAGCTCTCCTAACTCACCGTGTAAGCCAGGTGTGAGCGTCTGATGACAGTGCTGCTTTTCTCGCCCACTTCCAGCGAGAGCGTGGCGATGGGGTCCTGCTGTGGCCCGCTGCCTCCAGCGCCTAGAACCACCACCTGCACTACTGTGGCAGCCATGGAGATGCCGTCGCTAACTGAGAAGGTGATGGCATCATCTTGGGTGGAGAGCCCGGAGTGGTGGTAGAGCAGGACATTGCGGGTGACGTCGCTGAAAGTGAAGGTGTCACCTGAAAAGATGGAGGAAATGTGGATGTTACAACTGTAGTTTCATGTGTTGATTTTAGTCCTCCTGCTTTTCTGTTACCTTTCCACCAGAGACGCGGTTATACAAGCAGGGAAAAAGAAGACGTGAGGACAAAAAAACTGACAATAACTACATTTTTGAGGCCACAAAAATATTCTTTCTTCTTAAGCAGGTGGCCAAGCTTCTGTTTGTGTTGTACTTTACCATTAGTCATGCGAATCTTTGTGTTGCCGTCAGTCTTTATCAGCTCTCCATGGACGGGAGCTTCTACCACCTCGAACTCCAGCTCATCTGGAGCCGTGTCAACGTCGCTCACGGCCAGCTGCTGACCGCCTGCATGCGCCACAGAAATGGAGAAGAGTTAGAAGCATGAACAGCCGGCCCTCAACAAGTTCTCTTCTTAAATTGTTTTTGTACGAGCCTGTTTTTGCGTTTATATAATCTTACCGATGGCAGCTTGTCCTCTGAGGCTGACCTCCAGCAGCGGGTCCAGAACCTGAAACACCGGCGGCTGCTGGTGGTTTGTCAGCAGCAGGACGGCAAAGTCCAGCTCAGGCGTGGTGTGCTCGCCATCTGACACTGAAGCACACGCACGCAAGAAGGAGGAGAAGAAGAATATCATTAAAGCAACCACACAGATCATACATGACACAGAGGAAACACACAGACACAAATTAGTCCAAAAACAAACGCACACCTCTAACACATCACCGCTAATGAGCTTCCCAGCTTCTTTTACTTCACAAAGAAATCTTTTTAAGGAAATTTAACAACCTAAAAGTCAAGATTATAAAAATAAAGCACATCATAGACGCTGAAGTTATTAATTAATT